GATCGTGGCGTCGATGGGGATATTGCCTCCAATGCCAAACCCGATGAACGCCGCCAACACACAAAGAGTGTCGAAGCTGCGTGCGCCACCACTGGCAATCCCAAACACCGACGCGATGAACGTGGTGAGGTAGAAGCTCCATCGTCGGCCGACCACGTCGACGGCAAACCCAAAGAAGAAGGCACCCACAGTAAGCCCTGTTGAAAAGGCGGTTTGTAGCGGACCAGTGGCACCATGGATTTGGCCGTCGAATTCGTACGCCACCTGGGTGACGATGAGGCCGAGCGCTTGCGCCCACAGAAGGTCGATAAAGTAGCCGCAGCCACACAGGAACCAGATGCAGATCTGGTATCGACCCATGCCCATACGATCCAGCTCGGCCGAGATCATCATCGACTTGTTCTCCTGCAGCGTCTTGGTGGGATCAAACAGGTCGTCGAGCGTCACATCGCCCGGTCCACGTGCGCCCTCTCCCGCACTCGCAGACTCGCCGCGCGGTGAAGAGCCCGCCGCTGAATCGTTGGACGCTTCGAGCGCGCCTGCCGACTTGGCGGCGGTTTCGTCGTCCCGGTACTGGTCGTTGAGCTTTTGTGGATGCGAGCGCTTCATCTTGATCGAGTTGGACCGGCGATTTCCCGGGCGTGTACTGGTTCGACCCCGACGAGAAGAAGACGCCGAGGATGGCCGATGCTGCAAAAACGGTCTCCGAGCTGCGTCCTCGGCGTCGTCGTCTTCGTCGTCGTCGTCGTGGAAAAAGTCGTCGGTGGACGTGCTGTCGTGCTCCGAGTCTCGATTCGGTGGCGAGCGGGAAGACTGTGCACGTGCCTTGCCGTTGGTGCGGGCGCGCGATACAGAGGTGCGCGGCGTCGAGCTGTGTGACTGGTACGAGGTGGGACCGGGCAAGGTGCGCAGCGGCGCTGATTGCGAAGCGGATGCAGTCGAGCTTGACGGTATCGCTGACGGAGGCGATGGTGGAGAAGAGGGCATCGCTGCCTTCTAACTCACGCCGTGGATATGATGGGCGCGAGAAGGGGAGCCCGACGAGACACGGCAGCGAGCGCATACACTGGACAGTGCGGTTTTCGGAGAGACGTGGTGCGAGCGAGCCGAGCAAAATCACCGCGAGCCAAAGAGCAGCAGGGACAGGAGGACGTCTCGAAGTCTCGGCTAAGGGAGCAAGGGAGGTAGCATCAGGCACTGAAGAGAGGGGGGAAGGGCAAGAGGGAGAGCAGGGGTGAAACAGCATTCGACGATGCGAGAAGCGAGCACCGGCGTTCGGATGGACTGGCGGCGAAGCGCGCGCGTCCAACGGGCAACGGAGGCGGAGACGGAATCCACCTCCTGACGTCGGTCCTGTCATGCGAGGGCGCGCGGAATCTGGCTGCTGTATCACTTCATACACTGCTTGCACAGGCGTCTACTTCAGGCGCCGCCCGATGGTGGAATGCATCGCTAAGCGAGGCAGCCATCCGCCCTCCAACAAAGATGCTCGGTCAGCAAAGCAGCAGCGGCTACGAAGTCGAGCATCCACCCCCACCAAGCAAGGCGCAGCACCCGGCCGAACTTGATTCACAGGCATACATCGTCGTCGCACATGCAGAAGGCCGTTCGAATCACTTTGTCTTTAGCAGCGCAGGGCAGCGCAGAGCAGCACGCAGGAGGGAGAAGCGGCTCGACGCCCGTCGATGGCAACGACAGCTGCAGGGTCCAGTCGCTCTCCACGCGCTGCTGTCCATCGGCACGGCGGATGCTTGGCTAAAGGTGCATCGATGTGGATTTTTACATAATCATGACTCTCCCACCGCACCTTCTTCTTCGCTTTCACTCCACATTTTGTCAGTTCCGACCGGCGCTGGACCCTCTTCACCTCAGCATTCCATCCTCTCTCATCGTCTTTCCACGCATCAACTGGCCGCTGCTGCTTCGCCATGCAGCATACCCTGCTCGTCGTCGGGGGCGCGGGCTTCCTGGGCAGCGCCATCTCCAAGGCAGCGCTCGCAAAGGGTTGGCGGGTGCTTTCCATCTCGCCCTCGGGTACGCCCTACCATACTCCGGCTGGCCATCGCCCGGCGTGGTCGTCGAGCCCGAACATCGAATGGCATGCGGCCGATGCGCTCGATCCGTCGTCGTACTCACATCTCGCTGATAGGGCCACGGCGGCCGTGCACACCGTAGGCATCCTGCTCGAGTCGGACTACAAGTCCAAGGCGTCGAGCGCGTCGCCGGTGCGCAATGCCATCGCTGGCGTCGTCAAGGGCTGGGGAATCCGTCTGCCCAACTTGGGCGCAGATTCGAACCCACTCGATGATTCCGGGACTCGTGCAGGTCCGTCCGCGAGACAGGGCAGGTTCAGCTACGAACACATGAACCGTGATAGCGCCATTGCGGTCGCACATACCTTCCTCTCGTCGCTGAGGAGCCGTGCGATAGCGCACAAGCAGGTAGACGCACCGTCAACGCCAGCTCCGTTCGTCTACATTTCGGCCGAAGACCTGTTCAGGCCGGTCGTGGATGCGAGGTACATCCGCACCAAACGACAGGCGGAGGCGGCCATCGCACGGCTTGCCTCGCATCTCCAAGCGCCGCAGCGCGAGCACACTCGCGACCAGTCGGAAGCCATCCTGGACGCAGACGGTGCAGGACTCGAACAGGAGCTCCGAGACGATCCCGTCAACGATTCCGCTTCGTCATCCGATGGACAAGCACGCTCCGACGCCGGGCATGGTCTGGTGCGACCAGTGTTTTTGAGGCCGGGACTTTTGTACCACCCTCACACGCGGCCGGGCTCTACGCTTCCAGCAGCGATCCTCGAGGCGTCGGCCGCACTGCATCGCAAGCCGCCGCTGCCTCTCCCGCTTCCGACACCCGCACAGCTCCTTGCGCGTCTGGGCGGCGGCGGTGGTGCGTCCGAGTCTGTAGCGCGTCTGCTCACCACGCCTCCACTGCACATCGACACGGTGGCAAAGGCGGTGTGTGCGGCGATCGAGGATCCCGAGGCGTTTGGCGTGGTGGATGTGTACGGCATCAGGAAGCTGGCAGGCTGGAGGGACGAGGCGTCGCTGAATGCCAGCGTGTATGCGCAAACGGTTGCGGGCGGTTCGGCGCAAGCGCCTGGTGCAGGCATGTCGAGACCGTGGCCTTCGGCTGGCCAGCATGCGCCTTTGCAGCCGGCTTCACGACCCGCCTCGCCTCACACGCACCACACGCCAGCCGTATCGTCGAGCGGCCAGCAGAGGAGTCTCTGGGTCCCAAGCCGTGCTTACACCCCTCGGTCTCTTTCCAGTGGTGCGATTCAGCAAAGGCGAACGTTCTTCGGGCTGCCTGATCTCGGAAAGCTTGCATCGAGCGCGATCTCGTCCGCCACCGGATCCAACGATGGCGAGAGTCGCTCGTACCGCGACGCGCACGGGCGCACGGTGTACGAAACGTCCAAGGTGCTCTCGCACCCAGCAGACACACTCTTCTCGGTCGTCGCCAACGTGGATGCGTACAAGCAGTTTGTACCCTACTGCCAAGATTCTCGCGTCCTGGGTCCCGCCGACCCTCAACAACCAACCGCACCAGCTGTACTCGCCGATTTGACCGTGGGGTTCGGCAGGTTCTCCGAGACGTACACGTCGAAAGTCACCATGACAAGCGGCGCCAAGGACAAGCGCAGTGTGGTCGCAGAGGCGGTCCAGCCCAACCCGGTGTTTTCGTTTCTCGAGACAAGGTGGACCTTCCACCCCCTGCCCAGTGCAGAGGGACGCGCGCAGACCATGGTCGAGTTCAGCCTGGTTTACGCTTTCCGCAACCCAGTGTACGGCGCTGTCGCCGGCAACGTGTTTGAGCAGATGAGCGCACAGATGATCGACGCCTTCGAACGCAGGGCAGACCAGCTGCATCCCCAACACTGATAAAACAAGTCGTTCCTGTCAGTCACCGCAAAACAGATCCGTCTAATTCGATCATGATCAATCAGAGTCTGGCAGTGATGTGTAGCGTCTAGAGAGATGGACGAGAAGATGAAAGTGGGGCAAAAAGGGATGTTGCGTTGAAAAGCAAAAACAAAGGAGAGTGGAGACTGCATGA